TATAAATATAAATATATATAAATTATATGTGTAGGTATACATACGTACACGCACACACAAACAAATATATATATATATATATATATTATGTATGTATGTATGTATGTATGTATGTATGCATGTATGTAAGTATGTATATACGTATGTATATATATATATATATATCTATATATATATATATATATATTTGCATATATGCATATATATATATATATATGTATTAGGTATGTATGTATGTATGTACGTATGTATTTAAGTATGTAAGTATGTAGGTATGTAAATATGTAAGTATATATATATATCTATATATATCACGCGAGTAGCACATTTGCCAAGTGCCAAATGCCTCATGTAGATGCTGGTTTACAAACGCCCGTGCGCGAAACAAGCCCAGCAAAGTAAAGAGTTCCATTCGATCGTTTGAATGTATGCATCTCTATTGCTTTACTCAGCCATATGAACTGTCCCAGGGCAGGGAATTGTCACCATATCTCGAAGACGTCCACACATTATTTCAGCCAATCATTCATAGCTTTCGCCAATTCAGGCCCGTGTTCCAATTGCATGAAATGGCCTCCGTTTGGGAATGTCTGATGTGGCTGGCCTTGAGCACCCGGAACTTTATTCTTCAGCAGTGATTCAGCTGGCCCCAGCACGGGATCTGCGGTTCCCCTATGGGTTGTTGATGTTTACAAACAGCAAGTTGTTGAAAATTAGGAATTGGCAATTCTAATCTAGAAAAGCGAATTTTACTGCGCAAAACACAGAATCAGTATAGTGTATGCCTTTATTGTTTACATCGAATGTTTCGAGTATCGAGGTGTGTGTGTGCACCCATTCCTCATGAAATTGTGGCTGGGGCGACCTCGTAGTTGCAGTTCCTGGCGTAGAAGCCAATTGATCACTTTAGGACCGAAATCAGTACGAACCAAAGTACACATCACACGCACAGCAGGAAGTACTTACCACAACGACAGCAACGGCTTCTGGCGTGCTGCTAAGCCCTTCCAGGCAGCAATGTTCTCGGTCACCGATTTGTGCTCAGGGGTAGTGGGCACAATCATTGGAAATTCTCTAGCACCCTGAACATTGATTGCAAGCAGTTTAATGTTGAGTCAAAGCACAAATCTCGCGCAATATCTACCCTACTCCCAACAGCTACACAAGTACTATTCGCGCAGTCCAATTGCTGTCACAATAAACGATCCAGAAGACGGCTGAAACTACGATTAATATCGCAATGAAGTCGGACTAGCTAATCTAAACAAGTATATATACCTGTGCAGGGACTAGTTAAGATAAGCGAGTATGTATACCTATGCAGTGAAATCATCTATACAAACACAAACACCAGTAACGACGATAAGCACGTATCGCGGAAGGGCATCGCATGGATTCCAGTGTGTACCATAAGTATCTACCGGAACCATACCGACGGACCGCAGAAATCGCTAATTCTTACTGTGAGCAACCAGCAGAAGGGAACAGGCTATCTTTATGGGTTACAGTAGTCCTTCCCCAATATCAATAGCAAAAGCATGCATATTAGGCACGCGCCGCTATGCAATTTATCGAGAAGTATTGGTATACAAGTATGAGAAGATACAAACACAGCAAACTCAGACCCTTTCACGAAACACACAAAACATACCGCCAAATAGCTCTCGTTCATATCGGGATAGGGAGCATTGAAAGCATCCACATCACTGTCCTCTAGTTTGCGGTTGACTGCTGCATTCTTGATAATTTTGCCGCAGTTCATAACTGGCATTTTCTGAGACGCTTCTCGCCACGCGTCGAATCCAGGACCAGCACTCTTACCAATCGGCAGCGCCGTGTTTGAGGCCACTGTGAGTCGTACACAATAGGCTGGAAATTAGGAACGAGAAGCGTGGATTTGGACTGCAAAATTAGGATACCCTCAGTAAGCGAGCAAAAACAAAACTTACGATGCATTATATACCGAATATTTACATAACGGCGCATACCTATTTGAAAGAGAATAAAAGATATCCTTGCCTATCTAGCGCTATCTTCGATCTATGTAGTTGAAAGATACCTGCTTCTATCGATTATGAATCACATGGTGCATTCATTGCAACTGAATAATACTATGATATGTGCGCTGTTTAACCTAGCTGATATACCCGGCAGTAGCTGAAAGTGTGTATGCGACCGGACACCCCCTCAAAACACCCCCCACCACACACACACCCTTCTCATGACCTACAGCTGTATTGCAGTCCGATATATACCTAAAAATACTCACCGATTCTCTCGTAACGGTCAGCCTCCTCTCCGGCTATTCTCAGCGTGATCAAACCTCCCCAGTCTTGGCAGAAAACAGTCACGTTACTCAGCTTCATCTGGTCTAAGAACATCCGCGTCCAGTTCACATGTGCTTCGTATGTGTAGGCCTTTCGCTCTAAGGGTTTGTCCGACCGTCCAAACCCAATCAAGTCAGGTGCAACGACTCGGTGTCCAGCCTCCAGAAGAGGAGGGATCATGTCCTTGTACAGATAACTGCGTTTCAAGGATATATGTGGAATGTGGAGTACTTTAAGCAGATATTCGGAAACCCACATTTCATTGAACTGAATACTGCTTATAGAAAATGCGTATCTTAGCTTTGAAAGTTTTGCATGTGCTGATTGTAGATCAGTCATGACCTACACGAAGATTAATCCGTACAGTAATAAATCAAACGTTGTAGGATATATCCATCTAACTGTACTCGCATCAGCAAAAACCACAACGTGGATTAGCACTTATCCACAACATCCACAGCATGCGGACATGTATTGCATACATATATATTGAATACAATGCAATAATATATATATATACATTTATATCTACTATAGATATATATATATATGCATATATATATATATATATATATATATATATATATGTAAATGCTGATAACTCACCTCCAGGTCGGTTCACCGTGCATGAGGAGAACGGTATGTCCCGATTCACCCTTGCCCTCGTCATAGTAAGCCATACGCAAACCATCTAGGTCTTTATACTTGGGTTCGTAGTCAAAGCCTTTCACTACATTAAAGGCCGATTCAGGAGTGCGCATGTATGCGATACCGCTGGAGGTAGTACCTATGTTCCAGGATGATACATGCCAAATGATTTGCAATCCGAATGAGAATGCGTAGTGTGGTTCAAATAGGCCAGAAACGACCAAGAGAAAAGATAACTACATTGTATTACTATATCCATATCTATATTTATGGATTCTAGAGCACTCATATATTGATAAATATACTCTGTACAGTCTGGAAAATTACAAATGTAGCTGTTGAATAAATCATATCTGTTTAAATATACTCTTCACATGTATGCTGATGTACATCCACAAGGTGATAGTTCTACGCGAGTACCAAATTCGTTATGGCATCCACATAGTCTCATGAACATTGACGCATATGAATACACCTACTAACACAAACGCGCGTACGAACTATTAACACAAAAATAACTACACGCCTATATACAAGACGCTTGCGGCAAGGTTTGGTTGTGATACATGTTCAGCAAGGCTGCCATTTACTAATGGTTCAAACCCCGTATAACCGAAAACATCTTCTTAATTCACGATTTATTCCGCAGTGTGACTGGCATGTACAAATAATTTGAAACAGGACGCGCATTCGTGGAAACGATCATTGTGTTTTAAACAGCAAACTATATTGAACGCACACAGTGCAATATGTAAATTTCAATGTAGGTATGCCATCTTACATATTTCGAATCTTCAATAGAACGTTTGTGACACTGGATATATATGTTCGTAATCTCAGATATAGATATATGTACATCTTTCGTGTGATAATCATACAAGTATTAATGCATATCATGGCACGTACACCTACCCGTGCTCATCATACGCAAGTTGTGCGACAGCCTCCAAGAGGCAGGGCGAGACACTTGTCCAAGACGTGCCACCAACATTTTACTGTTTATTTGATACAACCTGTGTTCACTCTTGTGGTAGTGAGGATCAATGAAGTGTAATACACAGAAGCGACCTTTTAGATATTTATTTACGCATATATCTATACGTGTACGTACATAATTACACTGCTTTTTTTATTAACAAAATAGTTATTTACGTCAGGTCTCTGAGGAGTCCGAGGACTCTCTGCTGGTCGTGGTCTCAGACTCAGAGACTCGATTCTCAGTTCTGAGTATTCAGGATCACATGATATAAACAAAAACTTTCATTTGTTTGCCGCAGATATTTTGCTCCACACATTATGTGTATGACTTCTTCATGACCCTCTACGGCTCTCTCTCTCTCTATATGACTGTGTAGAAAGTGAAGAAATAAAATAGTGATCGAGTCCCATTGGACAAGGACATATTAAGATCTTTTCACTACTTTTTTTAATAAAAATTATAGAACAAAATATTCGTTGTCAAAAATTTGATATTTATGTACATATGTACATTTTTAAACCTTTGATTTATTGACCAACAGCCTACAAGTATACAGCGATCATTTTGGCTGATAATGTACAGCAAACAGAGACCTGGAATTTTGAAAAACAATGTACACTACAGAGTACAGACTACAGCAGTACAGCAGGTGCATACGTACCGCAAATACTAGAATATTCATTTGTTTACTTGTATCGTTCATCACAGCGACGATATATGTAGTGGTGGCTGTTTTACAGGTTCATAGTGGTTACAAATAATTTTGTATCGTTTATAGCGATTTTGTATGTAGTGGTGGCTGTTGTGATGATGTAGTAAGTGGTGCCTGTTGTGATGTTGTAGGTAGTGATGGCTGTTGTGATGTTGTAGGTAGTGGTGGCTGTTGTGATGTTGTAGGTAGTGGTAGCTGTTGTATCTGTGAATTGTGGTTTCCAATTACTTTGTATCGTTCATAGCGATGTTCTGGGTAGTGGTGGATGTTATACAAGCGCATAGAGATAATTAGCTATTTTGCACCGTTCATAACGATGATATTGGTAGTGAAAGTAGATAAAGCAAGATATTTACAATATTAGTTCTCTCACACTGCATACGATACCGCTATCAATATTTTAATACGTTTATCGAGTTGGCTGATCTCGAAAAGCTGACTACTTATATATATATATATATATATTTATATATATATATATATATATATATATATGTATGTATATATGTATGTATGTATCTATGTATCTCTGGG